TCAAAACATACCTATGCTAAGCTTAAAACTAAAAATAGATTATCAAGTCCAATTGACTTATTTTAACACCAAGATAAAAATAAGTGGATTTTATTTATGGTTTCATCAGGAAAACGTGTGCTTGATTGGAATACTGAACAGTGATTCTTTGTAAACATAAGCGAAAGTGATTTTTTGAAAGTGATTTGCTTTTTTGCTACAGATTGTCGCAATGGAAATCTACTTATTGTAGATGATAGTTAAAAATATTATCAAGGCCTTTTTATATTGGAAGTAATATTCAAGTTTGGAGAGACTTTTTTATGCAGAAAAAATCGCATACAGTGAAGTCTTACCTTGTGGAAATTTTTCTCTGAAAAAGTTTTAATAAGTAAAAATAAGAGTTTTTAAAGTCTTACTTTGTCTTAAAAAGTTTGAATAAGACTTATTAAGTCGGAAAAAGTCTTGTAGAAGAGTTAATAAGACTTTTAGCAGAGATATGCTAGGAACCTAACTATAGTTATTCAGAGAGGTTGTATTTGATTATTACAAAATAAAACACAAAGAAAAGTATTTATTAACATTTTGCCGGGGTGGTTTCTTTTTATATACGCAAATATTCATCTAACCATTGTTCCAAACAATTTTTAGACACAATATCGATTTTCTCAGCTGACCAATTAGAGCACAGCTGATCTGTCATGTGATAACATCTTCCCCCGTTTTCAGGATAGCTCTCCTGTGACTACTTACCAAGTGTTGCCGTTTGAGGGTATTTTACTCGGAAATCGGGTATTTTCGTTTCGGATATTTTGCAAATTTCGATCAAAATACTGACTGATTTTCAGTAAATAATAAATGTATGTATACTAAAAATGTATAATTATTTTATATCCTGTTACATTTTTATTTACTTATATAAAAATTTTAAATTAATTTAATTATTTTTTTAGGGCGAATGGGCTAGTAAATTTACTAACTAAAGTTCATTTTTTTTTATCTGGACTGCGGCAACGTTGCAAATTTAGGGTTTTGGTTGGTAAATACAGTTGTCAAGTTGGTCGCATTAATTAAAACAAACTAAGCTAGTTATAAATCTAATTGTGGTTATGTATAAATTATTGTAGGTTACATTGTGCAGTTGTCAAGTTGAGTTGTCGAAATTCGTGGTTAAAATGCAATTAATTTGGCTTTGGTGGTGCTTGGATGAGTAAAATCATATAAAAAGTAGTTAAATATAGGTTGCTTTACGGCCCAGAAGAGAAAGTATTCCTAGCGGATAATAATCTTCGCTTTGAAAAAAGTTTATATAAAAGAAATTAAAATTTTTTGTGAACGTAAATGTTGTCCAATGGTGAATAATGTGAAAATAATGTGTGATGTAATATTTATAAAACCAAATTCGTTACTTTTATACTCCAAAAATGTCCATAAGGCGATGTACTTTTTCTTCCATTGTGGCATTTAGCATAATTTCATCAAAATGAAGTTTTGCCCTCAAAAGGGCTTTTACATTCGAATTCGTTGCTATTATTTTTGGCATAATTATCTTTTTATTTATAATTGACAAGTAAATTATCAATAATAAATATTATTGTCAATTTGACAGTGTCAAAGTATTTAATTAAATTCTTTAGCAAAAGTAATATTTTTAAATACTAAAAATACTAAGTCAAACTGGCATAAGCCACCAACCTAACAAAAAAACACGAGTCCAGATAAAAAAATGAACTGTAATTTTTAGAAACTTTTATGACATTCATCCGGCAACACTGTATAAAACACATGAAGCAATGAAAGCAGCTCGAAGATCAACTATATTTGTTTTATGAGTTCGACTGTCGACCATATCATGCCTATGCGTTGCGAAGAATTGTTATAGTTATGTACTGTCTGTCCACTATAAGTTGGCGGAACCAAGGAATTTTGTAGTTTAGATATTAAAGAATTGTCGTACTGTGTGCTTTTAAAACAGATTTTATATTAATAATAATACTAGTATATATTATATACTAGTATTATTTATAATATAAAATCTGTTTTAAAAGCCCACAGTACGACAATTCTTTAATATCTAAACTACAAAATTCGTTGGTTCCGCCAACTTAGAGTGGACAGACAGTACTTATGTACTGTAATCAACAAGGGATCTGTATGTACACAAACCAAACGTATCCAGGGATCCCACGGCTAAATTACAAATTTTAATTAGGAATTTAGGAGGTTTTTTGTAAAATTTTAGGATAAATAAAGTATGGAAATGAATTTCTTTAATTTAATAAAAACAACTCTTTACTACTTAAAATATAAGAACAAAATTAATACTTCTTTTGTAAAAATAAGTTATATTGACTAGTTTTTTAGAAAAATCGCTCGACGAGTTTTTTTTAAATAAAATTAAAAGTGAGGTAAAATTAAAACTTGTATATATCTGAGGTACATATATATATAGAAGTATAAATTTCACCACACTTTTAATTTTATTTAAAAAATGCGTCGATAGATTTGGCTAAAAAACTAAACCAAAATCAAATGATGTTATATTTATATTTTAAGAACAAATATGTTAACCGTTTAGTTAATAGCTAACAGTAATTGAAAGATTAAAAATAGTACGAGTCCAAAAGTAAATTTTTTGATAAAATATTTCAAAAAATCAGTTTTCGGCCATTTCAAGCGCGCGAAACGCACGAATTACAAAACTGTTTTTATAAAAAAAATTGTAGATTATTTAATATATATTATTTTGGCATCAAAATTGGCAAAAATATTCTTCTTTTATTAGGTTATACATTAAATAAAAAAAACTCAAGAAATATTTTATGAAAGTAGATATAATTTTAATAATTGAAAGGTGTGGACGGGACAAAAAAAAGATTTATCTTGTCCCGTCCATCCCTGTCAATTATTGAAATTATCTCTACTTTTATAAAATATTTCTTGCGATTTTTTTATTTAATGTATACCCTTATAATAGAAGAATTTTTTTGACAATTTTGATGTAAAAATAATGTATAATAAATTAGCTACAATTTTTTTTATAAAAACAGTTTTGTGATTTGTCCCGTCCATCCGCTTGAAATGGCCGTTTTATAGTTCTAAATGCTAATCTAATTTTTGTTAGAATATTTTAACTATTTTATGAAATATAATATTCATATTCTGTAAAATAATTTTTTTTAATCTTCTCACAAAAATTTATTTTAAACTTTAAAATTGATTTTAGAATAAATTGTCAAAATTAAATTTTTGGACTTTATTAATTAAATTAATTAATTTAATTGTAATGTGAATCTTAATACTTAAAAATCTCATAACAAAATATAAAGTTTGCAAAATACAGCAAAACATTCTTTAGATTGTTTACTATTTTAGCTTTCATTTAAAAGAAAATTAAAAATCCTTTTGTTTGATATACAGGGTGTCCCGAAATTAGGGGGCCAAACTTAAACAGTGCATTCTTTATAAAAAAATAACATTTTTTTGTTTAATAAACATATATCAAAAATGCCCCCTAACGGTGCTACGCCCCCCTAAATAGGAGCTTAAGACCATTATTTTTTTAAAACTATTCCTAGAGGGTTGAACATGAAGACCTGAATTTTTGGGACTTTGGTAATTTTGACATTCTGAATCTGTATCTATAATCAAAACTGTTAAAATTTAATCATAGGCGTAACATTTGAGGGGGCAAATTTACAAAAACAGCCCCAACTTTTTGCAGAGTGAGTTTTTTAATGTTTTGTTATAAAATTATGAAAATGTCTAGTTTTTCACGAAAAATAGGTACTTCTGCTTTGAATCGCTCAGATGCACCATTTTCGATAAAATTGCAATTTAAATTACTATGATTAGCATAATTTCTAATATTTTCATTAAAAAGCTTTGGGACAAAAGCAGGGACCCGGACCGAAACCGAAAAAAACCGAAAACCGGAACGGAACCGGTTTTTTTTTCCGAACCGAAACCCGAACCGGAACCGTTTTCGCTTTTGATAAAATCTGTTGGACCGGAACCGAAACCTTTATTTGCTTTCATTCTAATAACATTATATAACATATTAGGTTATAGATTAAAATTACGTAAAACAAATAACCTCACTGGAACCGCTTAAAACCGAAAAGAACCGAACCGTAATAACTCCACGAAACCGAAACCGGAATCGGAACCATTAAAACGAAAATAGGGTGAACCAAAACCGTATCGGAACCGATATTTCATTTCGGTCCGGGTCCCTGGACAAAAGTGACGTTTGGGTTATTTGCTGACTTTACATTTATTTTTATAGTTTAGTCAATATTTTTTGGCTCGATTTTTCTTATTTTTTATTATGGAGCGATTTTCCAAATTTTAACACAAAATTTTAACGAAAATATGAGATTTGTATGCTATGCAGAGTAATTTATAAATGCATTTTTCTCGAAAATGGTGCATCTGAGCGATTCAAATCAAGACTAACTATTTTTCGTAAAAAACTACAAGTTTTCATAATTTCATAAAAAAAAATTAAAATGTTATCTCGGAAAAAAGTTGGGGCTATTTTTATAACTTTTCCCCCCCAAATGTTACGCCTATGAATAAATTTTAACAGTTTTGATCTTAGATCTTGATGCAGCATCTAAAAATTACCAAAGTGCCAAAATTTCATTTCATCATCTAGGAATAGTTTTAAAAAAACTATTCTCTTAGGCTCCTATTCAGGGGGCCGTAGCTCCGTTATGGGGCATTTTTTGATACATGTTTATTCAACAAAAAAGTGTTACTTTTCTATGAAAAATGCTCTGTTTAAGTTTGGCCCCCTAATTTCGGGACACCCTGTATACACGGTATATTTTTGACTAAAAAAAAGAAACATCGCTAAAAATGACAATTTTGTAGAAGTTTTTTTGTTGTTTTTTAGGAAAAATTTTGGTTGTGATATTATATCATTTTAAAAAGAATTTAATAAAATAGAACCTATAAATATATATTTTAAATTACTTTTTAAAAAATATTTTTTTTAGCTCTACCTTAATTAAACAGTCAGGTTGGCCTATTTAAATTTAATTTTTAGGATTTTAGGAGTTTTAGGAGATTGAATGCAATTTTATGAGTTTTCAAGATTTAAGCAAAATTTTAGGAATCTTATGAGTTTTAGGAGGTGTGGGAGCCCTGCGTATCTCCCAACTGTTTTATTCTGTTCAATTAAAATAAAGTTTGTTTACCTATATTGTAAACATTGCTTTCGTATTTTATAAGCCTTATAACAACCCAAAAAACAGTGTTTATAAATACTTTTCATTATGCTTTCTTTTGCAATAACCAAATACAATTCAGGATATTTATTTTAATCGCTATGGTACCTACCATTTAGTCTGACTTATTCAGACTTTTTCCGACATAATAAGTATTATTCAGACTTTTTAAGAGAAAGTAAACTCTTATTAAAACTTTCTCAGAGAAAAATTTCCACAAGGGTGTAGATCGAGGAAACGAATTAATCTTAACTGCATGTGCTACTTCTACGACTAGAGCCTGCAGTAGAGCTGCCGCTGCATAAAAACCTGCCGGTGCCGGGAATCGACAGGCTCGCCTGCTCGGCTTGCGAAGGAGATAAAACATTGTCCATGTACAGCCCGTTGATGTTTCCTGCTGGGTGGTAGTGGGCGACCACGACGATTTTCCCCGATCTGGAGCGAGCTTTCCCGACTCCGAAGTGTTTGGAGCTCGCCCACACCACCTGCGTGAAATGGCCGGCGTTCGCGTTGACGTGCAGGTTTTCCGGCTCCCTGCGGAAGTCGTATTGGCGGACGGCGCTGTACCAATACGTGGAAACTTCCTGGCCTAAGGAAATTTGACATTGCAGCTCGAAGAGGGTTAAACAGCAAACAGAAAATTATAAAAGTGTATAGGACGCCAAGTTTGAATATAGCTTTCTAAATCTCGCCACGGTACACGAAAAAAAATGTATAGTTAATTTTAGATAGTAAAAAAAATATTGTAAAATTTCCTTTAACAAATTTTTAGGGTAACAATATTATATATTCGTCAATACAATATTAAGATTGTAATACAAAATACTATTTTTTATTATACAATAGGGTGTTTCAAAAAACACAAAGACCTCGTCAAAATTTGAGCTTTTAATTTAAAGATTTAGAGGTCTCGGATCGCAATTTTCTATTTTCCATTTAAATAACATGGAATTTTTTTTTTAACTTTGAAATTTTATAAGTCTGAATCGAATCAACTTATGTCAAGGATCATCTTAGATTTTTATAGTAAATTTAACGCTCTACAAAAAAAGGTCTCCTATCATTTTTTTATAAATTGATTCCTTCCAGAATTATTCAAAGCCAAAGTTTGATTTCTATCGAATTTTCGCGTTTCTTTAACATTTATGGTACAATTATCATTAGGGGGCCAAACTTAAAAAGTGCATTATTTGTATAAAAATAACACTTTTTTTGTTTAATAAACATGTATCAAAAAATGCTCCCTAAAGGAGCTACGGCCCCCTGAATAGGAGGGTTGAAAATCAACAAATGAATTTTCGGTACTTTGGTAATTTTGACATGCTGAATCTAGATCTATGATCAAAACTGTTAAAATTTAATCATAGGCGTAACATTTGGAGGGGTCAAAGTTACAAAAATAGCCCCAACTTTTTTCTGGGTTAATAATTTAATTTTTTTTATTAAATTATGAGAATTTATACTTTTTTACGAAAAATAGGTACACTTGATTTGAATTGCTCAGATGCACCATTTTCGAGAAAAATGCATTTATATAAATTACTCTGCATATTATACACATCTCATATTTTCATTAAAACTTTGTAGTAGGCTTTGGAAAAAAGTGACGTTTTTTTGTTTTTTTACAACACTTCCTATGTTTCAGATATAAATATGTGATTTTTTTACTACATGAAAAAAGTTGAAAAAACGAGAAAATTCGATGGAAATCAAACTTTGGCCTCGAATAACTCTGGAAGAAATCAATTTATAGAAAAATTATAAGAGACATTTTTTATAGAGCGTTAAATTTACTATAAAAATCTAAGATGTTCCTTGCCATCAGTTGATTTGATATAGACGTATAAAATTACAAAGTTAAAAAAAAAATTTCCTATGTTATTTATGGGAAATCTTCAAATTAAAAGCTCAAATTTTAACGAGATCTTTGTTTTGACATCCTCTGAAAGAATTTGCTGACCATTTGAAGAAAAAGTCGATTTTTTTGAAACACCCTATTATACAATTTTAGTAAAGATTACAACACCAATATTACTAAATCATAAATGTATAATAAATATTTTAATTTTTAATATGTTTGTATAGTATTTACTATATGATTTAATGAAATGTAAGGTGTACATCTAATAATATAATATATTACACATTAATAAAAAATATACTAAAAATAAAGATACTTTTATGTTTAAGGTAAATAAACAATATATTTAAATATAATATACAATATAGTAACTCATGACATTTTAAACACTCAATTTTCTTAGTTTCTTCAATAAACTTTCTTGACCCATTACTGGTAATACTTATAAGAAATAATTGAACCTACTTGGTTGCATAGTATGTACCGATTGCGGAAAAGGCCACGCCGCGACGCGCGTTAGACGGTGTGGATCACGTGATTTTATTACATCTCGCCTCTGTTGGCTTACCAACCATGTTATATAAGCTCAGGTATTTCTTTGTTTTGGGTGTGTTCCACTACTACAAGTTGCCCGACAGTGTCGTGACGACACTGATGATACCATATGATATACCAATATAGGTGAAAACACCTGTCTGTCGGTATTTGAAGTTGATGAAACGCACTCAAAACAAAAAACTTTGACGAGGTGTAGGTTCAATTCTTTCTCATAACATTTTTGTATATTAAAAAGTACAATAAATATGTTACAATTTTTAATTGTTAACATATAAAAATATTCGATTTTAAAATATTTTATATTTAAAATGGCAACATAGTATTTTAAAATTTACTATACTTATTAGTAATGGAAAAAATCTAATTATTATAAGAGTTAAAAACAAAATTGGTTGAGAATAATAATATTTTACCTTAAGGTTTAACATACATGGATATTTAAAAATTACTAAATATGCATAGTATCTGGCAATATACAGGGGTATTATAATTATGGTAATCAGCATTATACTTTTCTCTCCGTGTATAAATTTGTATTCATCAGTCGAGCGTTTCAATACTCTCCACAGTATGGAGGTCGTAATTTGACTTTTCAACTAAACTGCGCACCACTCAATGTGTCGCGACCAAAAAGTTCGTCCTTTTTCAAAACGACATAACTTTTTTGTTTCTTAAACGATCCAAGCCCCGTTTGAAAAAAGAAATATATTTTCTCGTTTTTACTTTGAAATAATGTAGTATTATGTCTTACCTTCAAAAGGTTTTCAAATTTTTCGAATTGGAATCTTAGCAATGTGTTGGCCCGACTTTTGATACTCGTAAGGAAGAAGGTGACAACCAACTATACGCACTTAGTTAAAGTCATATTGACAGAATGAGATGACATTGACAAATTAATTTCAATCAGTCAGCTGTGTTAAAAACGTTTAAAAGTTTATTTAAATTATATCGAGTCTTAGCGTGAAAGATTGTTAGTTTGAGTTGGTAAATAAAAAATGGTCTCCTAGAGTAACAAGGTTGTTGATGGTAGTAGGCGAATGATTTTGGAAAAATATAGAGATTGATGATTTTTTAAACAAGAAATTGTAGGTATTTTTGAATATAAACATACAAGGTATGATATAAATATTATATTAATCAATTTAATTAATTATTTAAAATGGTTGTAAAGCTTGGACCAAGTTTATTATTTTAATGTGGATTCCTAAGGTTTTACCTCTGATATTTATTTATCTAGTTCATCTATTTTGTATCATAAGTCGATATCATTATATTAAATAAATTAAACCTTAATATTCCTTATTTTTACTATTACATACATATTATTATTACTATATGCCTTATTTTGATTATTACGTTGATATTATTATCTGCTCTATTATTATTATTATTATTCTTACTATATTTTCTATGATTACTATATTGTATATTATTACTGTTTCTCTATTTATTGCGCCATGTAATAGTATTAATAAGAATGAAGGTTTTGCTGTATAAAATTGAATTGTATCTCTGTTTCGACTGTTTATACAAAATGAGCTGATATATTGTTACTGATGATCATTATTATAAATTTAGTTGATATTACATTTGGCTTGATAATACTTATGAATCTGCATTTATTAAACTTTGGAAATAAAACCCTTTAACCTATAAACTTGACATATTTCTATAAATCTACCGTATTAAACTAGTAAATCTAAATCCCCTAAAGTGACAAAAAGCTAACTGAAACTAATAATCTCAAAACGTTTGATAAAACCTATTGTTAAAACTAATATTCAAATACAATGAATATAAAGCTGACAACCATTATTTGTGTGTTTTTATTACTTAATCTAATTTCCTCTCTCTGGCATCCTTCCTATCTAGAAGCGAATTCAAATAACACAACGTAGGTACCTTTCCGACTAGACTAGATGATCACACCGTTTTTGGCCACACTTGACAACATTGCGAAGTTGTTGAGGTTATGTTTGAATTCGCGAGATTCTTAAAATCTCTTTGGGTTACTACTTTTTACTCGAGTATGGGGTACCCCCACCCCGTGCCCATCACAGCAACGAAAATATGATTTTTTTTTCCAAAAGAGTACATTTAAGGGTTTTTGGTAGTAAATGTTAAAATAATATTTTAAAATTAATTTATGGCGGATGCACCAGTTTTAACTTTAACCCCGGCGCATTCGCCATTTTATAAACTGGTGCATCCGCCATAAATTAATTTTAAAATACACTCACAGGCAAAATAATCGATCCACACAAATTTTCGATGAATTTCAATCGCAAATAACTTTTTTATTTGATGTCGGATTTAAACGATTATTAAAGAATATTGTAGATAAATTAATGGACAATCGCTCACATTTTAAAAAATTGCTAAAAAATAGACGTACGTTTATAATGTACAGGTTTAAACAAAAATATGTTTTTTACCATAAGTTTAAGACACTCTGTAGAGTGGCAAGACCGTATATTGTTCTAAATTAAGTTTTATTTATCAAGTCACATCTATTCTTAACAGTTTTGTTTTTGGTTCACCTCGATATATTTATTTTTGTGGAAAATATGGATTTTTTAAGAAAACATTGCAATTTCCAATAATTTTCTGTATGAAGAATTAAGGTTGCTATGGTCCATCCATAGGCTATGAAGAATGACAGTGACAGTTTTGTTGAATCATCCCTTACTTGGACATGTCATACACGGCTTTCAAAAGCCATCAAATTGTTTTTTGCAAATTAATGTTTAAATTTTGAGGTGTGTTCTTACTTTTAAAAATGGATATGTATCCGACTGATGTTGCCAGAGCCATTAATTTAATCCAGGATGGAAGGTCACAGTATTACGTGGCAAGTGTTTTAAACGTCACAAGAAGTAAAGTACAAAGGGCAACATCAGTCGGAGACATTTTTAAAAGTAAGAAGACACTCAAAATTAACACATTAATTTACAAAAAACAATTTGATAGCTTTTGAAAGCTGTATATGACATGTCCAAGTATGGGATGATTCAACAAAACTGTCACTGTCATCCTCCATAGGCTATGGATGTACCATAGCAACCTTAGTTCTTCATACAGGAAAAATATTGGAAATTGCAATGTTTTTTTTTTAAATCCATATTTTCCACAAAAACAAATATATCAAGGTGAACCAAAAACAAAAATGTTAAAAATAGATATGATAATTAAAACTTAATTTAGAACAAAATACGGTTTTGCCACTCTACAGAGTGTCTTAAACTTATGGTAAAAACATCTTTTTGTTTAAACCTGTATATTATTAACGTACGTGTATTTTTTAGTAATTTTTAAAATGTGAGCGATTTTCCATTAATGTATCTCAATATTCTTTAATATTTGTTAAAATCCGAAATCAAATAAAAAAGTTATTTGCCATTGAAATTCATCGAAAATTTGTGTGGATCGATTATTTTGCCTGTGAGTGTATATGATAGGGGACTATTGTGAATATCACATATTCTAAATATAGGTGAGATAAAAAGTAAGAGTTTCTTGAGTTAAATCTTGGCACCTATAAATAAAATTTAACGCAATTATATTTCTGCGATCCTGCAAAGAATCCAGAGAGAATCTATTTAATAAGAAATTATTGTCTATGCCTCTTTCAGGGTAAATTCGATCCTCCTTATAAGCAAGATACTTCAAGAATTTTCTCTGGACAGCTTCGATACGCTGGACATGACATGAATAAAAAGGAAACCAAATTAAAACACCATAAGCCTAGACCTAATTAGTCAGTTAAACAAAAGCTTCAAAGCATCAATATTATTAAAATCTTTGCAATTTCGAACTATAATTCCTAAGGTTTTAGTGTTATTTATATGGTTGTTAAGTAAAATGTCATTAATGGAATAATTAAACTGAATAAAGTTTTTTTTTTTAGTGTATGTTACTACTAAATATTTTAATAAATTTAACATAAGTTTAGATTGAATGCACCAGGAATAAATCAAATCAAGAGTATTTTGTATCCTTAAACAATCATTCAAATCGTAAACTGTTCGATATATTTTAAGATCATCCGCAAAAAGCAACTTATTATCGGACAGGGTAAATATAAGGTCGTTAATAAAGACCTGAAGGTAGGATCTAAATATATTTATAAGTTGAGAAGATTTGATAGAATGCCTTTTGAAAATCAAGATATATGATATCTACCAGACCTCGAGAATCCAGAGCAGTACTAACATACTGAGTAAGGCAAGCCAAGTTAGTTATGCAAGATTATTTGGACATAAAGCCATGTTGCTCGTCTGCTATCAAACATTTTGTGGCGGCATATACATGATTATATATAATAATCTCAAACAATTTAGAAAAGTTGCATAATATGGATAGATGCACTGGTGTGTACTTTTTGATCAACCAGATTTAAATATTGCTGTACTAACATATTGTTGGATATAGTGGATATAGTGCAGGGTCTGACAACAGACCTCATTACTAAAATTAAACTAAAGTTTAACTGCATATCGTTTGTTTAATAAACCTCATTTTTGTCCAATTAATATTTCATTGTTCAGCAAGAACCACGTGAAGGTCAACAATATCGGTACAATTTCTCACCGTAATATCCATAATGACTAAATTCACATAAATCACCAAGTTCAATTAACTAAACCCACAGAATAAACCACTTACAAAAGAATCATAAAATAGACAAACTTATAGAAAAAGAATAAACAAAATATTGCATAAATAACCACAGATTTGTTCTTTAAACAATTCAGAATTTTATAACCAAAACAACCCTAAAGAAGGAATCTGTATTTATTTTATTGGTTACTGTGATGGCTACAAGATGGCGATAGTGTTAAAATATGTTTATTTTAGAATAGAAATATAATTTCCATTAAATCGATTTATTATAAGAAAAATAATACCATTTACTATTGAATTTTGAAAAACGCGTGAAGTTTAATTTATCTAAAATTCCGCAACAGTGTTGCCACAACACCTGCTTATTTCCTTGGATGTGGGCGTGCCTGCCTCGCGTATGCTAATACGAGAGAAGGAGACAACTATGATATCGCATTGTAATAGAACGAGACAACAAGGCTAACGCCAATCGTGAGTCTAAATTAGTTTAGGCATGCTTCTGAGTAAATCATCTAGCTATGAATATTAGTTTAAATTGCGATCGTTTCAAATTCAAATAATTTAAATGTTGCTGGGTATTCCACGTATAAAATCAATCAATTTTATTGACTATTTCACAATTCATGTAATCCAAATATTAAAAATTTATAGTATATTATAGAAAGTAAAATATTTAAATTATACTTAATTTTTTTAATTCTCTATGATGAGGCACTGCCTCACCTGCCTACCCTGACGGGCCGCCACTGCATCCTATACACTTCTATATTTTTTCGTTTGCTGTGTACAAAGTAAACGCCGTGACTTACCTGTTACTTCTAACTCTATGGAATTTGCTGGTCTGCAGAATAAGTTCTGGCCAATATCCTTATCGTTTCTATAGTAAAACCTATTGCTATGAGCCAAATGGTTGGCCCATGTTTGAGCTAAATAACAAAGCTAAAAATACAAAAATTGACGTTTTAAAATGTTTAAATTCGTTGTACCGATACTTACTTCTGAAGACATGGAGAGTGGAGGGGATCCATGCCTTTGCCTATAGACGTTGTGCCAACAAAGGCTGTCCGTTATAAAATCACTATCTTGCCATGCGGTACGAATTTCCGAAATATCTAAAACTATGCTAACGGGACGGTTATGTAGGATCTGTAACAAGCAAAAAAAGTGAAACAGTAAAAAAATGCTTAAAATCAATTTGGTTTTTGTTATGGCACTTTTCCATAAATGTTGGAAAAGCTAATACTAATTAAGGCAATACAGACAGCATAGAACAAAAGTATAGTCTATCAACAATAGGTTTGCATTATAAAAAAGACAATCATACAAAAAAATCGTTATCTTATGTCTAAAACCGCACCAAGTCCATATTTAAACAAAAAATTATCGGAATTACGCATCATTTCGATGATGTGATAAATATGGTTTCTTTTATTTATGGTTTTATCCATTATAAACCAAAAATAATTAAAATTTACGTACCTAGTTGATATGACATACTTTTTCAATATTTTGGTAAAAATAAATATTGATTAAAGCTAAACAGACAGCATAGTACAAATGTATAGTCTATCAACAATAGTTTTGAATTATAAAAAAAGATGGTGGATTTTATTTATGGTTTTATCCATTTTAAACAAAAAAATAAAATTTAGATACGTACAATTGGCGTCTCCGAAATGTGAACGATTTTTTGTTGTCATGGATTTTTTTCATAAAATTTATTCGTTCATTCCTGGCTTCGGCCAGTGGTGTTACATATAGAAGGGAGAATACTAAGAATAAGAACAATATCCTAAATCGTTCTATTTTTTTAATAATATTTTAACAAACAATAATATAAACAATATAACAAATAAATTAACTTTAATTTGGTTTTATACAACAATATAAATTAACAAGTAGGTAAATACACAATAAAAATAACATAACTAAATTAACATATTGCTCAAGAAAATTGGTTTTTAAGTGAAATAGCGGCAGATTTAAATGTCAGTAAAAGCTGCATATTTTATATCAAAAAACGTTGGCAAAAACAACAAAGATTGAGAAGACCTATCAGGCAAGGTGTAGGTAAAATCTCCAACGAAAATGAAGACAATGCTCTTGTCGCACTTATTAGGCAAAATCCTTTCAATAGCGCATTTAAGGCCCGAGAAGATACACAATTTCCAGGATCTCTTCGAACAGCTCAAAAAAGATTGAAACAAGCTGGCTTAAAAAACTGTGCTGCTAAGCTATTTTAATACTTAATTGCAGAGCCATTAGCTGCCACAACCCTTTGCAACCTTCTTGGCATGGACATTATTAGCTCACGCATGTCGTATGAATCAGCAAGCTCATCCCAAGAATTTTCAACAGCACTCCATAGTTCATCTCGGTTTGCTGGCCTAAAGTCCCGTTGATATATATTTTTAACTATAAAACCCCACACGTTTTCAATGGGGTTTAAGTCAGGGCTTCTAGCTGGCCATGGCAAAACAGTTATGTGGTTGTTGTTTACCCACTCTGTAACCACGCGAGCTGTGTGAACTGGTGCATTGTCCTGTAATATAATATTTATTAGAATCGTTTTTGAATACTATACAGTTTTCTTACATGTTGAAATATAAAGTTTTCTGGAAACACATGTCTAACTGAAGGTAGCATAACGTTGTCCAAAATCCTGGTATAGTGCTCAGCCGTTAATCTACCATGAATTTCCCAACATACTCCCGGACCATGGATGCTTATCCACGCCCAAACATTTATGGAAAAGCGTCCACTATTTGAGGTTTTTAATGTATAGTTCTCCTCAAATCTTGCGTTTCTTGGACGATATACACGCAGCCTTCCATTATTGCAAGATTGGAACGTTTTTTCATCCGAAAATATAACATTATTCCAAAAATCTTCTCCATAATTTAAATAGTCATTGGCGAACTGGACTCTCCTGCGCTTATTTTCTTCAGTTAAAAAAACCTTATGAGCAGCAGCACAGTTTTTTAAACCAGCTTGTTTCAATCTTTTTTGAGCTGTTCGAAGAGATCCTGGAAATTGTGTATCTTCTCGGGCCTTAATAATAATAATTAATAATAATAATAATTTATTTCCAACAGGAATACACCCAATTACAGGAAATGTTATTAACAGTACAGTAAAATAAACAATGAACACTACGCTATTGAAAGGATTTTGCCTAATATGTGCGACAAGAGCATTGTCTTCATTTTCGTTGGAGATTTTTCCTACACCTTGCCTGATAGGTCTTCTTAATCTTTGTTGTTCTTGCCAATGTTTTTTGATATAAAATATGCAGCTTTTACTGACATTTAAATCTGCAGCTACTTCACTTAAAGGCCAATTTTCTTCTAATTTGGCTATTGCTCTGGACCTCTGAGCCTCGGTTAAGTGGGGTGGCATTTTTAATATTGCAATTGACAACTATTATCAAATTTGACAACTACCGACGACACTGATGCAAAGCCCATATTACACGATTAAATTTTGCCGTTCACATTTCGGGGACGCCAATTGTACCTAGTTGATATGACAGGTACGTAAATAAATATTTTTTTTCTCGTCTCTTGTGAAAATATGTTAGTTTATCATGTTGTAAGAGCCTTTCAAAATATCAGCTCGATTAAAAAATTTTTAGGGGTCGCTCAAGATTTTTAAAAATTTCCAAAATCGTCAAAAATTGAATTTTTGTTTTATTTTAATTTTTTTTCTCGTCCCGATATTACTTTCTAGGTTGAAAATAATAAAAATTCTGTAAATTTCAAATCGATATTTTGATTTCTAAAGGTCGCTAAAAGTTCATTAATATTTATATTCAGAGGTCGCTCGAAAACATTCAAAATACTCTACTTTAAAAGTTTAAAAAGTCTTGAGTGACCTTTAGAAATCAAAATATCGATTTAAAATTTTCAGAATCTTTATTATTTTGAAATTAAAAAATAATATCAGAACGAGAAAAAAATTAAAATAAAAAATAATCAATTTTTGACGATTTTGGACATTTATAAAAATCTTGAGCGACCCCTAAAAAAATTTTTAATCGAGCTGATCTTTTGACAGGGCTCTCAAAACATGATAAACCAACATATTTTCACAAGAGACGAGAAAAAAAAATCCCAATAATTTGCATATATAGGCCATGCTCTGATTCAAAATATTTATTTATACAACATTTGGACAAACTTCTCAAAAAATCGCAATCTGTGGAGATTTTAACATAAATTTATTTGATAGTGACAAAATACTAAACTATTTATGGATTTATTAAAATTATATTATATATATTAACTTTAACCAAACTATATTTAAAGCCACAAGGGAACATCAAGGATCTAACCCATAATATTTTTATTAATCTAGAAAATTTCATCAGCGCTTTCTGATCATCATGCTGCTGAACTTAGTACCTAAAAAGAAAAAAAGAGAAATCAATATAAAAGACTTTTTGCCACAAGAAAATTATTTTACTTTAAAGAAGAAATTAGATTTGAAGACGGATATATTATATTTAATCAAATTATATATAAAATCTAAAAGAAGGTCGTAAATAATGGAATAATGGAATTATAACAGAGTCAAACCACGTCAAGTGGGACCAGAAAATTTCACGAAATCACCGATTTTGAAAATAATCACATTATTGTGTAGTAGGCATGACTCATATGTCACAGTAAAAAAATTGTTTTAAAATTCGTTTTTTTGGTAATGTTATTAAGGTTGACAATTTTGTCAAACTTTAGAGCACGGTAAAATTGAAAAAATAGAATCTCTGGGACCACTCTGTATAATTGAATTAAATTTTACACACTATTGTAGAAATGTTTAGAGTATATAATGATCATTTAATTAAGGTTAATTTGTTTAAATAAAAGAATTTTGCATACATTTTTTATAAACAATTAAAATTTTGTATGTGTTCTTCACGCTGAAAAAAAATTAATCTTGTGTCATAATATGCGGCAAACGTTTCCGTTTAATAAGATGTACTAAAAAATTTGCCTTTCATATGTCATTCCGGAGATATTAATTTTTTTGTCCCGCTGTGCGCTTGATCAGTACGCGGCGCGCTTCGCTGCTAGCTCGTCAGCTCACGGTGTGCCTCAACGAAGTTTAAGTCACATAAAAATTCCGCAGTTTCTTGTTCGGGACCCTTTGGTGACTTAAACATGATATTTACAAAAAATCCTAGCTGCTCCTCTTTTCGAAATTTTTTGAAAAATCTTTTTTATGCATTATGCTTTTTACTATATAAAAAAGTGATTTTTGTCTAACCCTGTATAAATCTAAGCATATATATAGAAACAGATTCTCTCGTTTACAATATCGGTGTACAAATGTGTACTCTGGCAAAGGTAGACTTTGCTATAAACAAATAATTTTAAAAAAATTGAATTTTTTACAAATTAAAAAAAACAGTTAGAATTTTGGTAAATATATTTTTTAACTTCAACCAATTTTTCGATCAAAATTGAAAACTACTAAAAAGCCTAAATTAAACAACATTTTAAATACTCTCTAAGCGTTATTTTATTAAATGTTATTACAAATCTATTTTTCTTGTAAAAGGTTAATAATAATGCAATTTTGTAACCTGATAGACCTAGAAATATCTATAAAAAATTGGGAATAAATATTTTTCGCGTGTTATGCTAAAATCATGTATTTACGCTTTTGCATTATTAAAAATAAGTGATTTTTGGCTAACCCTGTATATATCAAATGATGTGAACAGTATTAAAAAATATTCTCTAAGTCTCCTAAATAATATACTCCAATTTTATAAAAATCCGTGTGCAAATGTGTACTCTGTCAAAGAGATAAACAAAAATTTGAAAAAAAATCATGAATTTTCGAACAATTTCGAAAAGAGGAGCAGCTAGAACTTTGGTAAATATCATTTTTAAGTCACCAAAGGGTCCCGAACAAGAAACTACAATCAGTTTTTGGCGGCATTTTTATGTGACTTAAACTTCGTTCAGGCACACCGTTAAACCGTTTTAACGAACGAGCTAGCAGCGAAGCGCGCCGCGTACTGATCAAGCGCACAGCCGGACAAAAAAATTAATATCTCCGGAATGACATATGAAAGGCAAATTTTTGAGTACATCTTATTAAACGGAAATGTTTGCCGCATATTATGACACAAGATT